TCAGAGCCTTAGGGAGCAATTCAATTTCACCACGGATGCAATCAATCGGGTAAAGTTGTTGTCAGTTGCAACAGTTTCTTCTTCCACAATTTCACTAATAACTCATCAACAGGATCATGTCCCCCGAATTCGAAGAGGACTGGAGGAACGATTATCTGGTCCAGCGGCCTTATTCAACTTCAACCTTATTGTCTCTCCTTCAACTTCTGTGCGAGAGGGCTGATCCAATGAGGCAGCCAATTGAGCAGGGTTGTCCCTGGACGGCGAGAAATCTGACAATCCCGGCCGGTGAAATTGCCTCTCAATTTGTTTAGCCCAACGTTCCAAGCGTTTTTTCAAGTTGTGGATATGCTTTCCACTCTTACCACGTGTTGTTTCACTAACATCAGGTCTTCTGCTGCCTGTTTTCCGTATCAGACGGAATCACTATCGATAGTTACCAAGATCAGCGGCTACTTCCGTCACTAACGCTCGATGAGACCACTAGGATTCGCAGTCTTTCTCCAGACTTTCACGACGTTTCGCCCTTAAGTTTATGCGAGTCTCATTGTGTTCGCTTCCAATCGGGATGTACCGGCGAGCAACGAGAAGTTCTGGGGACTGCGTAGAGCCTCAATGTCCAGGTTGGCCATTTGATTTGTCGCATGAATACATTCCTGCTGACCAGTGATCCTTAGCTGTATCCAGTGATCACTTATTCAACTCGAATGCCATCGTACTTTGATACGTATTCAGGACATCTGGCTTCGTCAGTTGGCGGGTGCATATGCGCTCATAGGGTCATTGAGGGCGACCGTCAAAACGCGCCCGGAAATCAGCACATGCAAGTGAATGGTCAGTGTCCACACATGTGATCCGACTCAAGCGACGGTTTTGCACATAGCCTCTTCAGTGGTAACTAGTCGCATCCGGTTTCTATCATTATATGCAAATCAAAATATACATTGTCTGAGCTTACAAAGGCCGAAGTTGACATAATTCGAATCGTTCAAAGGGAAGTTAGTGGCTATAAGTTGAGACGGCTTGAAAAAGAAAAGGTACCATCACCGTCTTCTGAAGGAAGAATAGATAAAGAACCTATTGTAAGGTTATGCCCCATATTGCCTGATGGCATACTGTTTTGGGGGTCGAATGGCTTACTGAAAATACGGAGCATCATTCAAATTCCTAATAATACTAAGCCCTAAACATGTAGTAACAGAGTAGTAACAGATTTCATCATCTACTGGAGGCGTATTTGGGTCCTTCCCAAGTATTGTCGAGCATGCGTCGCAACTACTGGGTCATGCCCGGGCTTTCAGCTGTGAAGCGAAGGAATGGAAGTTGTTGGACTTGCAAAAGACTGTTTGCCACTGTTGGTCAACAGCTGATGTCCCCACTGCCGCTGAGGACAGTGGAAGTTGGCATCCCTTCCAGTTAGCCGGCGTTGTAGACTACTTCGGGCCGTTCGTTGTCAAACAAGGTAAAAAAAATAAGAGAAACCATATGCATGTCTATTTAAATGCTTAAAAACACGAGGGGTACATCTCGAACCCTCCCAGACAATATGCTGAGCCCCCTTCAGCATTTTTTAAAGCGGAGAGAACGTATAAGTCGCGATGTGTAAACTTTCGATTGTTCTCAATGCAAACTGGACCCTTATGCGGTTTTGTATGTGGAATAGCTAGCAACACCAATCGACTTGTCATAACCAAGATTAAGTCAACCCAGTTGATGGTCTCAAGAGTTCATGTGTTCACAACCGGTTTAAGAGCATGCACGCTGAATGAGTTGTCGCTGATTTGCCGATTGATATTTGTGACCTGTACCACTGATGATCTCTGTCGTACGAGAACAAAATCAACGCATAACCTGCAGAGTTCTGTTGAGAGGATCATCAACACTTGCCTCCCTACGGAGTGTCTGTAGCATGTATACGGTCTGTCATCTGCTCATTTCAGTTACACGCAGCTACAAGCAGTTTGAGAATATAGGTCCAGCGGCATCCCCTGTTTGTTGCATCAATGAGCGCCTGAAGGAAACCCGACGCGTTCTCTCTAAACTGATCCCGTCCAATTGGCACGCTGTGTAGGGGCGCAATCGTCCATGAGACTGCGCGTAAGCTGTGTCACTGTTGTCTTTCTGCCCGTTTTGTCGGGCCGCATGTGAAGTGGAGACTCGACTGCAAACTACATCGTCTGACGGCCACTCTGGTGCGGACTCAGCCGACCTCATTATCCAAAGCACACGATAACCTGACTCAGATACGACTGCGGACTGAAAGGCAAACCACTAACGGAGGTCAGTGTGAAGGTAACGAGCGCTGACCTCACCAGTGTAGGGCGAAACTGGTCACAAAATGCACAAACACACACACCGCAATCAGGCTATGATTAGGCAAAGTGGTGAAATTTTTGCCATTCGTTTATTGGATCACTGGCTGAACGATGGATCACGAGCATATACCGTCCTCACAAAGTTACCCTCCATCCGAATCGTGTTACATGCCTGTTAATCAGCGATTGCTTATTTTTCGTCTGTATGATGAGTGTGCGTGTAAAGCTGAACATACTGCTCGACAATACAACACTATCCACAGTGCCAAGCGGTCCATCAACGGACAGTACGTTCAGAGGCTAGTGGGAGAATTTGGGAAAACGGGGAGCCTTTGCGACGCCAACAAGACAGGGCGGCCTCGCATCACCACGGATGACATTCCTGCTTTTGTGGTTATTCTTGAGGTATCCAGGAGCTACGATCTGAGCATTCGTAAACTCGCCCAGCATTGCGACACCACCAGATATGCTGGCCATAGGATTTTGAAGGAATGGCAATTCCGGAAGTACAGCGCCCGTCAAGTGCAGGTTTTTAACCCATGTGATTCGGAGAAGCGAGTTGCTTTTTGCCGCAGGTTTTTGGATGCCATCGATATCCATTCAATTATTTTTACCGATGAGGCTGTTTTCCGTTTGCACTGTGCGGAGAAGCAACAATTTTGGGCAACGTGTAATCCGAGCCGATGTAGCGCTTCACGTATGCAACATGGCGCAAAGCTCATGGTATGGGCTCGGTTAACTGGCCAAAGAAGCGTGGGACCATGTTTCTTCTCTAGTAAGGTGACCGGTAGGTTGTTGTTTCCCAGTACTAATGCCTTTCGCTTTCTAGTATCGTTGTACAAGGAATTACTGAAAATTTGTGTCATTCCGGAACAGGAAACCGCTTAGTTATTAAGCACCGCTTGGTTGCAACAAGATGGTGCACCTACTATGCACAAACAGTGTGAGAGTTTCTCAACCAGACGTTCCCTTGCCATTGCATCGGCGGGATTGACCTATAGAGTGGCCTGATCGGTCACCAGATTTGAACCCTTTGGATCTCTTCCTCTGGAGTTATTTGAAACAGCGAGTTTACAGAAGGAAGCCAAACTTCCTTGAGGAATTGAAGCAGAGCATTTTGCACGAATGTCGCGGGATCACAGTTGGTACATTGGAGAAAGTGCTAGCAAACACCATCAGGCGAATGCTGCACTGTAGGCAAAACGCCGGCGGGCACTTCGAACCTCAATTTCGTTGACAAGTCTGAGCACCACATTGATAATCTGTAACCATATGTATCCTGCAATGATGTGTCAACTTAATTCATGTGCTGACTAACGCACCCGTTTTCTTAGGAACGTCAGTTGACGGTTTCTGCTAGGGTTTTGGTGCGTGTATCGTCTTATAAATAACTCGGAATATCCGTACTCCTGTAGGTCGCCCTCAAGTTTAAACTTTGTCCCTTGGGCCCATTTTCTCTATTCCACCGACTCCAGATGGAAGAATAACACTCCAGGCTCAGGTTGCGCATTTGAACAAACATCTTCGCAGTTGAACACAGACCAATGAGGAGATAATCGGTTGCTTTAAAACTACGAGGGTAGACCTTGCCAAACAGTCCTGCGCTAGTAACACCGAGAAGTGACGTACCCTGACGAAGGATCATTGCGAGTCCTTAACGCAATAGCTACGCAATGAAAAGGTTGTCATACTGAGACAAGATATGGGATCAGATGTCGTCATAACGGAAAAACGGGGTTACATCCAGAAAATGCAACAATTTCTTGCAGACTCTAGTCGATTCGTTCGTGATATGACAGGTAGCGATAAAACCGAACAGGTTATAAAATCAAAAGTTTGTGAACTAAAGGCCCTAACGATGGTGGAATGGAATCACGCAAAAACTTTGACACAGCCGATCATTCGAGCCTCTCGGCTTTCTTATTTGTAAGGACTGCCGAAAATCCACAAAGAAGGCATCCCCTTACCACCAATTGTTTCACTGGTAGGCGCACCGTATCAGAAGTTGGCCAGATGTCTGACCAATGCAATCGAGCCTATTTCAAGAGAACTAGCCAGCTACATCGTTAATGACACATTTGTTAATAGAATACGGAATTTAAACGTTGACGGGAAACATGGTCTTCTTCCATGTACCCTCTTTGTTCACATCTTCATGGGGCACCTGGAAACTAGCACGTTGCGGTAGCAAATAAAATCTGATTGCACGCCGCATCTCACTGCACTGAGGATGCCACCTCACATGGTGGTGAAACTTTTGCAACAAAACCTCCAAGCTCGGAGAACAAATGAACAATTGAATCATCTCCTCCTGCTATCCACACTGCAAGCTAGTCCTGGCTTATGCTTTGGTTTTAGCCACGGTTTTTTAAGTGCAGTCGTCATAGCCGATTAAGAACAACCTGGCATGGTTCTTAGCCGTCTATAATTTATATGTCTTGTAGTTTAGTCTATCTCTCATAGCCTGTTATTTTGAACCATAATTCCATACTCATTTGTGTCAATATTTGCTCGGTTACCTCTATTTAAAGATTCTTAATAGGTGCATTTGAGTGACTAAAAATTGATGCGGAAACTTTTAGCCACAGATGTCTAAGGTCGCTTGGTAACACCTGGATCTGTTTATTGGTTTCACTTGGAACACCAATATTCTTTTCTTTAGTATTACACTTTCCTTGATTCCAGATCTTTGGTTGAACGAGCATTATCGTCTGAGGAACTGCTCGATCAATTCGGCGGCCCTGGCCTAAAGCGTGCTCAGGAATTGTGGTGCAAACTGCAGCCAGATCGTGCTCGCCTGTCGACCGTCACATACAACTCCGCTATCCGGGCGTTTGCCAAAGGTGAGTCCGTGTAGAGTAGCTTCGGACGCAACGTGGGTTGCTTGTACTTTAAGTACCTCTTCTACCTACCCTCACTGTAAACTTACGCTCCATTCCACCATATCCACGTTGCAAATTCAGTGCGACCACTTCTTTCTTAGGCTCCATCCTTCATTTATTACACTTCCACCGTGGTTGGCCGTATTTTCCACAGTTTCCCTGAGCAGAAATGCTCCTACATGGCAACACACCGACTGCTCCTTTGGTCCGGTATTTCACGCCCTTCTTTACCTTTTCTAGTAGATGTAAATCAGTTTGGAAAACCCAAACGTCTCGTCTACATCCATTGGTTTTATGTTTACTGAAACGGATTCCACGCAACTGACTAGCGTTAACATGTACAGCTTCTTGATAGATGAACTCACGCATGATAGCCGTTCACAGTTAGCTTGCCATTTGTTGCTTATATTATTTTACGTGATTGATCGATTGATCTATTGATCTTTGTATATTTTGTTAGCTCACGCCTGTCAGTTTCGGGGACAACTCGTCCCCGCGCCTGTTGCGTTCTTGTTTCCGTTCGGAGTGGCTTCTGTTTAACAGTGCATTCAGCCCATTCGCATCCAAACTGTGTCCCGCGTCACCGCCAGAGGCTTGGCATGAAAACTGAACTATACCTGCCCATTTTGTCCAATGCAAATCGGAACACACATTTGCCAGTCACTGAATGCCAATCTGTCAGCTTACAGGGCCGATGCCGCTGCACGGCTCCATGGACGGCTACTTGAATCGAGTTGGTTTCATGAAGTGTAAGAATCTGGAGCAAGTAAACAATGCAAGCGTCATCGCATGCTTGTGCATCCGGAACTAGTATTTTCATCCAACTGGTCGTAAAGAAAATGACGAGCCGGCATTAGCTACGGTCAGTTGGAAAGCTAATCCACAAGACCTAATAGACCCCGCATCCTTCGTGGCGGAAACAAATGTGGAGAGTTCGGTGGAACCATCAGGATGTGTTTCTTAGGAACTGAGCTTTCCCACCCACTCATCTGTATCCGTTCGAATTAGAACGGTATCTGAACTGGTGACACTGCGATTTAATGCATCAAGTACGTGGCGAAGAGAGTCCTTGGCTTCATCGCACTACAGTGATTGGGAACAAAGCAGCAACCGCAAACAGGCAGCATCTAGATTGGCCAGGTGGGCTAATCTTGATTGACGTCAAACGGATAGTACACAAACAGCAGTTCGCGGGAATCCAGCGAACCAGCGGTGACTCAGTACTGGCTTTGCGTGGTTGCTTCCTCAGTGTCTTGGGATACCTGTAGCCCCACCAAAGGAAACTGGACGGCGTAGTCCAATAAGGTGTTGTTGACATGGAGTTCGGTTGTACTTCTCTCCGCTATGCTCGGGATCCTAGGAGTGCTGATACTAGAAATTAGGTTGATTATAAAGGAAAGAAAAGTAGAGAAACCTTAACAGTGGGACACTTTTCTGCAGTCTATGCGACAGATTAGACGGCCTTTTTGAAACTACATAGTGGTCAATACCGGCTGTTGCTGGGGTTTGATAATAGCCTTCTGGTTTTACTTGGCTTGGTATGCTCTCGGAGCGCTCAAACTTTCACGGAAGAACGATGATTATCCCAAATCGGATCCTTTGCTCAAAACCTTGTCCACTCGGCAGCGGAAATATGGCAATGATTCAGTTTAGGAGAAGTTGGTGCAACCGCGGTTCCAATCCTTAACCTGTGTTTGTTTGTCCTATAACCATTGACGAGTCCAGTTGAAGTAGCTGTCAAGAGGCACTTGACACTGCCTTTTATAGCCTGATGATTTGAAATGTGACGTAAACCCTCACTTCACATCAAGGTCCAGTCTTGTTTCAGTGACAGCTTTCCACTTCCAGATGATTGTGTTCGTTTCGATTTTGTTCGTCCAGGAGGCACAGGTATTGGACTGGCACTTGTTAATCTCTGTTTGCATTGCACGGACGAGTCACAGGTCACATTTGCTTGCTTGACCGAACTTGACCACCATTCGCTGTGTTTAGTCACCAAATTTCACGAGTGGCGCCAAGAGTCTGTTTCGTTCCGTTACTGCTAATTAATGATGCACATTCCCCAGTCCCATTGAAGGGTTGGGAGCTACAATTCTATTACTCTGAATGCATTTGAAATTTGTGTGCCACAGCAGCGGGTAACAGCAATTGAACCAGTACTGTCTGTTATACTCCTTCATGGCTGACCAGCAATCAGACTTACAATGTCCATCGTCTCTGTAACTTAACTGCTTTCAAGTGAATGTGTCTTCGTCGTAATTGACGCATTCGCCTCCTGTGTTTCGATTTCCAATGCATTTTGCATTCATTCTCGGCTTTTAGGTGGTGACCTCCAGGGGTGTCTCACGATACTGAACATGATGCTGGACACAGGGAAACCTGCGAATCATCAGAATGCGATCACTATCGATAACTTCACTGTCAGCGCTCTCCTCTCGGCAATCAGGCCTTCACTGGCGAAACACGCACTGGCTTCCTCACTCAGTCCTCCTGAATCTGTTCCTCAACTGGACCATTTTCGGCTTATTTTAGCCTGTTGGCACCGGTTACTTCGGCACGATGGCTCCACACGGCTATCTCCGCATCTGTTTACCTCACTCCTAGACGCGGTTAAAGCCCTCCCCAATCACACCATATCGACCGATGTCCTTACTGTTTCCCCGCCAGTCTTCTCTGGCCCATTGGCTGCTCCAACCTCAGTAACTCATGAGGAGATCGGCGAGCTCATGACACAAACATCGCAAAGCCCTAAGAAATTGGTTCACTCCTCCACGGGGACTTCGGTCTTCGCAAGGACCCTCCAGGTTGACTGGTCAAATGAAGCGCTTGCTCTTAGAAGCCCGATCAATCTGATGTTTCCAACTGAATACCCGCTGACGGTTAGTAGAAGTCGGCAATGCACCCCCTGTTTAATAGCTCCGTTTTAACTAGTAGAGTATCAGCGCCTGGTTCATTCTAACTGTTACACACCACCGGGGCCACACTCTATCATTGATTTCATCTTTGTTTAGAGTTTTCAAGTGATGAAGATGTTCCAGACTGAGGCATGGCTTCTTCCAGCAGACGCTTTTACCACAACACCACCGGTCTTCATCGACAAATTTTATCACGGTGGTTATTCATGCATTGCTTTTCTTTCGAATACTCGTTGTGTGTGCGTGTATTTGGAACGCGGACCCGATTTCAGGCCACGATTTACTTTGTACTGTGCATTCACCATTTCCATTGCCTGGACTGTACCTGAAAACGAAGTTTGCGTGTCTAATTCCAGACGCATTGGGTAAGCTCTGAAGACCGATACTTAATGTGTTGTCGCGATCCTTTATGCTTCGGACAGCTGGATTTTCACTTGTGTGGGGCTCCAGCTTTCAATGTCACTTTGTAGCTTGTCACTCGAGCAACGATATCCACCGATCCAATTGTGCTAGGGGTCGATTCGCGACGCGACATGCATTCTCTCGAATGAATATTTTCGCCGCGTGCTGGTTATGGAGGTAGCTGTGCATGTTCACAGAGCGACCGCCCAGAATCAAAGCTAATGCATCCATCCTCCAATCAGTGTCATCTGCATCACTGTTTGTCCCGGCGACCCGTTGCCTTAAGCGTCGTTGCGATGCTCTAGTCATGAGCTTCACTCTCACCCACTGCTCTATGCTTCATGTGTATCTCGCTGATCATGGGGACAAGTCTGTCTGACGCCCTTATATTGTCAGCTGTCTTGCTTATTCATGTGAATTGACATTCGACCAGTACATTTTACCGAGTTTATAAGTCCCATCAACACTGGCGACGGAGATGGCTGATCATTCACAGCTAACCCAACTACTACAACCAGCAAGATTGTATCCAGCAACAACGGCAACATGAACAATAATATTGTCGTTCCGAACACTCACAAAGAAACTTTCATCCCTACATCTCACACTCACCACACTGAAAACCGGGTTCATTTCAAATAGAGTGTTGACAAACGGAATGAAAGACTTACAATATGACGCAGAGAACGGCACCACTTTCGCGATCACGCTTGACGATGCGGCCAAAGTACGGTTGTTGCTACCAAAGCTGGGCGCAAGTGAACTCAACCAGTACTGGAATTTCATTCTGCCGAAACATTCTCGTGACTGTAATTTCCATGGGACTGTCGATGTTCTCACTTTCATTTTTGTTAAATGGTCATGCATTTTCAACACCCATTATCAGCGTTTGAAACTGATTGAAACTCCACCCGTGGATTATGCTTCCTACGCGGGTAGAGCGAAGCATTCGTGCGAGTGTTCCAAATTCAAACAACTAACTGGTCACTCATTTTCTATCCGGCATCACTTCTGCAGCTGACGCAGAAGTCAGAATAAGTCTGTTATCCAAACTGGACTCATCTCCAGTTCACCATTCAGAACGTTACTGCAGTGTCAGCTTCTGGTCAACCTAAAGGTGACTCACAAATGTTACAGTCGAGACAAGCGATATCAGAAATCACATGTTTGGTACCATTTCTACCCGAACACCAATAGAAGTCTCTAACACTCCACGGCAAAAACCCCCACATGTTTGTTCAAATTGTGGTGAGTTGCATTTTGCCAGGAGCTGCTTATTCATCAGACACCAGTGCACCGTCTACCACAAGAAAGGTCATAAAGAAACGCATTGCGATCAACCACGCGACGTTCTCATCGTGGAGATCAATCAAAACCTTCTCAATAACGCCGAATCAAAAGGGAATCTAATGTGATTAATGCAACTACACAGGAAAGTTTTCTTTCACTTCGTAAGTTTATCACTGTTATTATTCTTGATCACAGTGCGCCTACAGCTAGACACTGCATTGGAGCTTGCCATCATCCTCAGCCCAACATAGTCGCCTATCGTTAGACCGATACTCCGCATTGCGGAAAATGCCGCAAGGAATGCATCACAGTCTTGTACTTCTAAATGGCAAATTTTCTTGTAAATATGTTTACAAAAATAATAAGCGAACTGACGTCTGTCACTTTTCTGGCAATCCGTAATTAAATATACTTGAAATCGATGCAATCACCGCGTTGAATTCATGGAAAGTGTTTCTCTGGAATCTGTGTGCGATCAAACCGAGGAAAGTCGATTAGGTCCGGACACTGCGACACAACGCTGCGTAGCGCAGATTTCCGCAATCGCCGACGACATGCAGCGGCAATTCCCGGAGGTGTTCAACCCCACACACAAAATTCACGGCATCTCTTTATTTTGAAAGGCATCAGCAGTACGCTGGTACACAGGACCGACACTTCGCTGCCGTGCAACCACCAACAGTCGCGCATGGGCTAAGAATACTACGAGGGTTGCCCGGTCCACTAGGTAGGCTCGAACCCGCAACCTCAGAGTATAAGGTGATTCTTACGGCCACGGGCTGAAGGCCTGTCTTCCGACCCGAAAGATCAGTGCCGTATGCTTAAGTTACTGGACGATGACTTGGATCGATCACGGGTGATCTCTGAAGTGGAATACTCAGAGTGGACAGCGCCTATAGTGATAGTGGAAAAACTAACGGAACCATCCGTTTATATGGAGATTTTTCAACCGGCCAAACGCGGCACTAAATTTTCATCGATACCCGCTGTCACTACCGAAGGATCTTTTTGCTAGACTCAAAGGCAGTCGAATTTATTCAAAGATTGATCTCTCGGATGCCTATCTTCACGTGGTAGTCAATGATGACGCGCGGCGCCTTCTTGCAATTAACACACCGTGGCCTACATCAGTGTGATAGGCTACCGTTCGGAATGAACACTGCCAAGGAACTTTTTCAGCAACTTTTGGATACGATGCTGGCAGACATACCGTCGGTTTTTGCCTACTTGAATGAAGTCGCCGTCGCATCATCAGCCAAAACCCAACATAGCTGCCACCTTCCAGCTATTTAGGCGCCTACGGGCACATGGTTTGACTGTGAGAGTTTATGTCATTTCTTTATATCTCAGCTTAAATACCTTTGTTGTTGGTTTTGACGCACGAAGATCTGCTATTGAAAAATCGCCAATCTTAGGGAAACTACCTGCACCACACGATATGCCTACTCTGCAATCGTTCCTATTACAGCACACTTGTTCCTGATATTCATCGACTTCGCGGACCAGTGAATGAGTTGCTGGGTAAAAATCGTCCCTGGTTCTGGTGTCATCCCAATGCTGTATCATTATGACCCAAAAGCAAATATCATTGCCTCCGCAGATGCTTCTGTCTATGACGTTGGAGCGGTACTTCATCACCGGTTCGATTCAGGCGCCATGAGACCGTTTGCTTACACATCACGTGCTTCAACAATGTTTGTACGAGAGTACTCACAGCTCGAGAAAGATTGACTAACTTTAACTCTTTCTGTCAAAAATTTCGTCGCATATTGCAGGATAGGGAATTCGTACTGGAGGCCCATCATAAACCATTAATAGCCATCTTCGGTGTAAAGAAGGGCATATCTGTATGCACGGCGAATCGTCTGTGTTTGGCGATACTGTTGTTCGGATATAATTCTACGATAGCTCATGTGACTACAACAGATTTCAGCTACGCCGATGCGCTGTCTCGACTTAGCACAAAACAGCCGAGCATAGATGAAGGCAAAGTGATCGTGTCTGTTGAGCTTGAATCGGACCTGAAATAGCTTCTGTGTAATTCATTCAAAGCTCTTCCGATTACTTCTGTGTACATTCAGGAGCACACCAAATTCGACGCTCTTTTGTAAGACGTTTTTCTTTTTTTTAACCCAGTGGCCAATCCGGATTACTGACACACCACCACTTTTATTGTCGTGACTCATTGGCACTGATCGATGTTTGTGTTATGTTCGGTCAATGCGTCATTGTTCCGAAGTCTCTACAGGCAAATGTATTAAGATATTTGCACATACATCATCCTGAAAGATCCCGGATGAAAGTTTTAGCCAGAAGTTACGTATAATGGCCTCTTATTGACAACGCTATCCATGGTTGCGTCGCCGCATGTAGCAATTGGGCTTCAGCAGGGAAACTTCCAAGCGCAATCATCCATCTAGATGCCAGCCTCCATGCCTTGGGAGAGAATTCACGTTGATTTCGCTGGCCCAGTGCATGGCGGATTTCTTAATTGTGGTTGATGCGTACACAAATTGGCCAGACGTATGCCTGATGGACACGACTACGACAGAGACCACGGTACGAAAATTGAAACAGTTGTCTGCACAGGTCGCTTCATCGAACGTATTGATTTCCGTTAACGGTTCGCAATTTTTTCTCATAAATTTGGTGCATTCTGTCAACGTAATGACTGCCGATTAGCAGGGCCCTTCTGGTTATATGGTAGTGAAGCATCAGTAGCAGTCCTTGCTAAGCGATTTCGAAAATATTGGCGATGATGACACGATATCCCATTGACAACTTGTCTCCTGCGTGTTGGAGTTGTAATAGTAGCCTAGCATGCATCATTTGATTACCTGGTCGGTTTAGTGATGCTTTTCATTGCATAGATCTCTGTTTTCCTATTCAGCCATGATTCCGATGGCACAATATCTCTACCACAGATTGTGTATTACGCATATATATATATATATATATATATATATATTCTAAAGTCCTCCCCGCCTGTAATTTTATCGCGTGGTATTTTTTGAATGACTTTCGGACATTTTGTACTTATCGCGTATTCACATTTAACCAATTTCTTCCATATGCTCATTTAGCGAGTATTTATGTCGTCATATGCGTTTACTTTATTCGATATCGGCCTTTCGAATGATTGGTTGTTGTTTGACATCCCAGGTGTGGCTGCGCTTGATGTGCATGTTGACAAGGTGCCTACCTGTCTATTACCCACTACCTCGTCCATCTGGCTCCAGGAGACAGTTGGTCGTTGCTGGAGGGGACGGGGTGCACAGTCACTGTGGCCGTACTAGGCTCGAAGAGTGGTTCCATGCACTCAGTGCGGAGCGGACTACGGTCCAGCCACCGCCTTATGTGCGGTTGATCCTCCAAATACAGCGTGCTTGTGTTTGCCTGTGAAGGAGTGTGGTCCGGCTCCATTGATGAAACGTGGTTCCCATCCGCATGCCTCCCGGTCTTATTCCTTCGGGTTTACACTGGATATGGGGTGTGTGGTTTGAGCTGTGGGTGGTGCAGCGCAAGCCATCCATGGTCCCTCTGTAGACGCAGGCGTCCTGTGGCTTGCCACAGTGACAGGCAAATCCGAAACGGGATGCCGCCAACCATATATATATATATATATATATATATATATATATATATATATATATATATATATATATATATATATATATATATATATATATATATATATATATATATATAATTCAGATGACCATTCTTGTGCATTGTTTTCCACCCTTATTTGGGCAACTGACTTTCAACTGCCATTTTCAGCTTCTGTGGTGACCCAGCGCACAAGAATGCAAACTGTCTTTCAGATATGTTTGGGCTCTATTTTATCTATTTAATTGAATTTGCCTTACAAATGAACATGAGCGCAAACTCATCAGTGGGTATCCTTGAACCATTTTTTGTCTGTGAACACCCCGTCTCCACATGTGTTGTTCAATAATATCACGTCGGTTCGGGTGAATCTCCGATAGATGTTAAAAAGACATGAAACTTGTCAAAGGGCTAACCGCATCGATGTGCTTCTCGTGATCGGCGGCCGACATATGGATGGAAGGCTTGCATTCCTTTCTTTAATCTTAACCCCTAATTATTTCCTCTGATTGTCTTGCTCTATTCCTTGATGGGGTTTTGTGTGTTCCTGCAAACTTTATCCATTCGTTTATCGCTGCACTCTGATCCATTACAGTTGATACATTGATGATAATTTATTGTTGCATGTTTGCTTGCGCTTTGTTTCATTCACCTCTTTTCCCGATTTCCAGCTAGTTTACCCTCAAGGCAGGTGGCAACCGTGGCATCGCCTCGCTCTCTTTGGTGGATTGTATGGCTTTCTGGACGCAGTTGAACGCGTTTATCAATCGAAGCCTAATGCGCTGCTGCTGACCCAACTTATTGCTCTGTTACCACAGCCGAAAAAGCTAGCTCCACAGACACCGGACGAATGGGATGTGTTCGAACACGCACTGATTACCTGGACCAGCAAGCATTCTGTTAGGCTTGATATGGGATTCTACAATGCACTCATTCATCGGCGCGTTTCCGCTGCCGTATCGGCTAACTACGTGCTTCAAGAAGCGATGCGGAACGGTTTCACAGCGGACCAGGTGAGTTTTGACAAGGCCTAGTTGCATGATGGTTTATTATCACGGATTCGTGTCCACGGTGCATACTCAAAACTTGTGGGTTTTGCAATGCTATCCGAGCTGTATGATTATTTTGCAGATGTTTCGCTGCCAGACTAGGCAACATCATCAGTGCGACTTTAAGGTCCTGTTTCGCAGAGCCTCGTAAGCGACTTCGAGATCTAAGTGCTTATTGATCGAGTTCTGCTTTGAATACCAGGCTTCAATAAACTCACGTGCTTGCCGGCTTGTGACTCTTCCGAGGATTTTGACGTGCTCCAAGTCGAACTGGTGGCCTTCGGCATCCATATGCACGGACATCAAAGAGTTCTTATCATGACGGCGGATGGCTAGGTTATGTTCATGTAGCCATGTGCCAAGCTTTCTTCCTGTTTGTCCTACGTAGTATTTGTCACAGTCTCGACAGCATATCTTGTAGATTACACCAGATGTTTCCCACTTGCTAAGTTTATCCTTCACTTTAAGAGTTTATTTCGTATTGTTTCTATTGGTTGGTGGGCAATTTTGGCTCCTAAAGGTAGCAAAAGTCTCGCTGCTATTTCCGAGATCCCGTTGGTGTAAGTAACACGGGTTTCTTTTCAGTTGTTACATTTGTTGAAGTGTGTTGTGTTGCTTAATGTGGGGCCAAGCAGCGCAGAATGAAGCCTTTCGGGTACGAATTCCGTTTGAATAGGCTGAAGAGATGGTCTTCCTCCGCCTGCCTCAGCTGCTGCGTGCTACAATGTATCCGTGCTCGTTTGAAAAGAGTTAGCACTCAGCTGCGCTTGTGGACTGCCGGATAATTGCTGTTGTAGTTGAGGATCTGGTTCGTTTGTGTTGATTTTAGATGGACCGTCGTTTCGAACCAACCAGTCCTATGTATGAGAACACAAAAATTGGAACATTCGATCAACTCGGCAGGACAGTTTCTAACAAAACTCAAAAGCACAACCATAGGACGAGACGATATATTGGTCTCTTTTGATGTGACGGTGCTCTTCACATCGAGTGACATCAACTTGGCGAAGCAAACAATGGCTATTCTATTGGAGTAACACTCAGCTTTCGACACAAGTAGTAAAATAGACGCCAGACGATTGATGGAGTTGCCGGGATTCTCTCTATCAACACATTACACTTTCAACGGCCAAATCGACCAGCAAATAAGAGGAACACCGATGGGATCGCCGATTTCTGGACTGGTAGCCGAAGCAGGGATGCAGGCGCTAGAACGAATAGCAATCTCAATTGCGAAACCACAACTTTGGGTGCGCTACGTAGACGACACATTCGTCATCCTCAAACTCTCCGAATTAGAAGAGACACATGAGCTAATCAACAGTGTGTTCGACAGCATCCAATTCACGAGGGAAGAGAACAATGGGCAGCTAGCTGCACGGATGATATTGCCTAGTCTGGCAACAAAACGTCTGCAAAATAATCATTCAGCTCGGAGAGCAGTGCAAAATCTACATCCACATCCCGAGCTACGAATATTCTCTACTATTTCATAACCTACATTTCATTGTAACAAGCACTTAAGTATACTAACAACAGTTACAACAACATTAATAGTACAGTCCTACATGCCATGGGGACCAGTCAAAAATATCCCCAACGATTTTCCTATATTTCCCATTGGTCTTAACATGTGTATCGCGTCCACTTGTCTGACGCAACCGCGACCCCGCTTTTGTGGTCCCCAGACGTTCTAGCACCTGCTCAAGGCGACCACCACTAGCACGACTGGCCGAGATTGCGAGTAGAGGTGTCATGAAAGTCTGCCACCGTATCGCACAGATAGCTTAGGTTTCGTTTCAAGGTGTCATAATTGCCCCAGAAACCACACCATATGCCCTGCACTGATTCATTATCGCCCAGGTTCACGTATTCTGTGTCTCCTTATTCGATTCCCCATAGGCTTGTTAATACCCCCGCTGTCGCAATTGACCAGTTCACATTGCGTAACTCCCCCAATACCATTGGTTTATTCTCACCCCAGGGGTCACACTGCCTTCACACCAGACTTGTCCAGTGACACATTACCCCCCCCCGTGGATATCACCCTATGTAACTAACGCATGTATCCCGCTATGGGCTGTGCAGTGAACCAGTCGGATAGAGCCATGTTACCCAACAAAAGAGCCGTGGGACTCCCCTCGCGCACTCTGGGTTTTGTGATACTGTTGTACAAGTCGCTAGTACTGTGACTATCACTTTCTGTGTGTATTTGTTTACTGGGTAACCAGTCGGTTACTGTTGAGGTACATCCTTATTGAATATTTTGTTCGTTTTTATAGTTCTTTTTGAATATTCTTACGCAGCATAAAATGCCTAGTTCCAAATTAGCAAAGCCAAAGGCATAAACACTTGAAGAAAGAATATCAGTGATTCGACAAAGTCAAGAAGGAAAAGGTTCGCGAACATTGGCGGAAAATTTCGGAGTAGGAAAGACACAAATCCTTCTAACTTTAAAGAGGAAAGCCGAGTTTTTGAATGACTTTGAGAACAACGCACCAAGACTGAAAAGAAAGGATAGTAGAAAAACGGGTAACGAAGACATAAACGCACTTTGCTGGAAATGGTGCCAGTCAGCACTGGCGAGAAAAATCCCATTATCTGGACCCATGATTCAAGAACGAGCATTGCACTTCGCAAAACAGTTTCAAAACCCCACTTTAAAGTGTCAAACGGTTGGTTGCGGGCTGTCATCAGTAGACAACCTTGTGTTTGGTAAGCAATCGGGCGAAAGCGGTGACTCAGATATGTGTGCTACATCCGACTGGACAGCAAAATTACCCGAAATAGGTTCAGGCTACACAACTTACGACATTTTTAATTTAGATGAAACTGGTTTGTTATTCAAAGCGACGTCAGATAAAACAGCTTTTGTCAAAGGAGAGCAAAGTGCCTGTGGGAAAAGAAGGAGTGCATCACAGTTATGTTGTGCACTAAGATTTTGAGGGAGCGAGAACCGGCTTTAGTTTTTGGGAAGTCAGCCAGCCCTTGAATTCTTAGAAACATCAGCATGAAAGAACTACCGGTATTTTACAGGACTAATAAAAAGGGGTGGACGACTGTAGCTATTTTCGAAGGTTGGCTTCAAAGTTTTGACAGAAAAATGCATAAAAGCCCAACATCATACTGTTTGTTGACAATGCCACTTGCCATCCCAAATTCCAGCTACTTAATGTCAAATTGCAGTTCCTGCCACCCAACACCACTGCGTTAGTTCAACCCCTCGACCAGGGTGTCATTTAGGCACTTGAATTGAAGTTTAGGAAAAAACAGCTTCTGCATCTTATTACGATCATGGAATCCCACAAAGATATGTCCGGCAATGAACTCATGAAACGAGTAACTTTAATGGATGTTGTGTTCTGGATATCTGCCGCACGGAAGGAGGTGAAGAACTCAACAATCTCTAAATATTTTTGTAAAGCGGAGTTTCCTTGTCCTGTAGCAATAGTTTCGGAGCGAGCAGTGTAAACTAGACTTGAGACATATGAGCAAAGTGAACCTCCTTCAATCTCTATTGTTTTGGATTCTCTTTCAAAGGAATCGTTTATATGTCAAATGGCTGACAGCCATTTGGTTGATTCTTATCTCTAAACCTCTGTCACAACAGAAATAAACTGGGACCTGCCAACCACATCAATTTTAGCAACTGTGGATGTGAATAGTGAATCAGACGACGAGCCGGAACAGGATTCCATAGGTGATCTGAAAACGTACACATTCATAGACGCACAGGATGCTGCTGATATTTTGCGCTCTTACGCAATACCTAACGGACACATTGACATGGTTGAACTTATCATGAACGTGAGGGAAAAACTAAACCCATCTTTAATTTTACCTGCCAAGCAACCGATCACTATACTTGATTATTTTTCATCTGGTGGAAAATAATTGTGACAATAGAGATGTGTGTGTACGATATTTCCGAAGCTTGTGAATTTCAATGATCTGCAGGTTAGTTTTTAAAATTTTGACTCAAAACCTGTAACTTTATTGCATCCTTATTACACATGTACCCTATAGTATACACTACTGCTGTTATTGTCTTAATCAGAAGCTACAATTGATTGGAGAAATCCTCGGTTCCGTGCCAGTGAGTTGTATTTGGGTTCTGTTTCCACTTGGGTCGAAATGCGCCGATTCCGTCGGGATGTGTGTCGTATCCAGTGTCTTCAGTTATCACAGTGTTGTGATATTGTACTGTACGTTCACCAACACATCGGGGCGTGCGTTCATTCCACTTCAGCTCCTGCGGCATCTACAAGCCTCTTGGTCCTGTTCTTTCTGCTTTACACGGAAGTCGATGTGTTTGTGTGAGTGCTAGCAAGCTCTTTGAGTCTTTAGTTCTATCCTAGATCTACCTGAAGAGGATAAACAAGTCCGAACACAGTGGTGGAGATTAGAGTTTGGGGGGCGCGCATCAACTAACAAGTATTTGCTTCACATGCGGTCTGACTGACCGCACTTACGGTGCTTCATCTCGAAGTGGATCACAGCCTCACCTGAGAATGCGCATCTCCCTCCGTCTACACAACGAGTACTCCAAACCAGACGGACAATTAGCGCAATGTGCCGTAGCTTAACCACTTTTCTATCGGAACAGGTGTAGTTTTTCTCCTCTTCAAACCAGGACACCATAACTTTGTGGTTTACCTCTTGATTTGATCATTTATCACCACGATCACTGTGGTAATCCGCGCCTATTCCCTCTTCATGATAGATCACTTGGGGATCCCTGGCTCGTGGCTGTCACACTGTACCCGAAGTCAGACAACTACTAAGGGCATTCTCCGATGCCTCACAACCATCTGATCTGTGCTCCTCCGCTCCCAGACACTCCCAAACGTTACTCACAGTCCGGCCAAGTTTACGATTCATCTCATCCATCATGTTTTCCAATTGGTTCAACTGGGATGTGAAAGCCTACGCTTTAGAACTGCTGATGGGCGAGACGGATGGAACGGTCTGTGATGGCATTGAACCGGATCAACGTCTCGTGGCCACCTTGGACATCGAAGTTGCCTTATTTCGGGAACTCCTGACTAAAGGCGTTATCCCGACTGGTAAGTCGTAACGTCTATCTGTTTCTTGTAGCATATCGCCACTGTGTGCACCGTTCAGTCCTAGTCGTCGTGACAGTCGAATCAGTGGACACCTACAGGTCGTGATACATTGACTATCTATTTACTCATCGTCAATTACTGGAAAGGAAATGTTTACGCACAACCCGTCCTAGGGATTTTCGTTATCTTGTAAACCATCTTTGACTCTGCTGATCATGCTAACTTGATACTTTTTGTCTTTGGAGGGAATGTCAGGAAAACATTTTATTTTGAAATCTCTACTGCGACTTTTTAGGCTGGATAACCGTTCATAGAAAGCTATCTTCCGAGTTTCGCAGTACAAGTGGGGGTGCACCAGGGTTGTCTGCAACTCACCCGCTTCTACGTAATCTTTGTGTTTGGACTGATCATAGCTGACTTTTCATCTCAACCTCCTCCAGGATGGGACTTCTTTCGTGTGACCGGCTGATAAACCTTGAGTATGCGGACGACATAGCTCTCCTTGGATCAGATTCAGCTATGATGCAATTTCTACTAAATAGTCTGACGCATATTGTTACGCGGTTCGGGTTGTGTTTTTTACTATTAAAGTACAGGAGGCTGTAACAGGACTGGACCGACACGCCACCGGTTCTTACTACCACTCAACAACCATTGCAAGTGATGTATCCGTTCAGCTACCTTGGTAGCTGTGTCACCTCTGGCGGTCATACCATTGAGGAGGCTAATTCCTCTAACAGCAAGACCTGTGTGGCTTTCTAGAAGCTCACCCATATTTGGACGCGACGGGATATCAGTCTTTCAGTCAAAAATTGGATGCACAACGCTGCGGTTAGACCGGTGTTTCTATGCAAATCGATTATGGACATTTCGTACTGAAGACATTAAATGATTGTCAGTTTGATCACTGGTGCTTGCAGAGTATTGCTCACATCTAGTGGAAACGCCGAATGAACAGTGCCGAGGCCCTCCAGTTTGTTTGGTAATAGACCCTTTGGTGCGTTACTGGAGTGTCCGTTAAAGCTTAACCGCCTATATTGTTTAGACCATGTTCTCCGCGTGTCCGTCGCCCCCCTCTCTCTATGTACCTTTTGTGTTGTCGCTGCTCCTACTTGGGTGAAACCGGGAGGTGATTAGTCAATGTCGTGGCATAGGTGATTAAAATAAATTGATCATCGCACCTGATCAGACTAGTACGTTGCCGTCGTCGTGCATGGGGGATGACTCGGAATTACCCTCACCAGTGGTTAGAGATCCCCCCCCGACAAGGCGGAGTCAGTGGCGCTCCTGCTTTCGATTTCTTGCACCTAGCTGTTAGTATACCATCATGCTTAATTTTACTCACCCTTTCCTGGCTTCTTTCTTTTTCCATTCACTCTGGCTCATTCTCTGCACCATCATTTTTGTTATCATGGCGATATGAGACATTGCCACTGTATCCACCGCACTTTTCTTCTCGGATCATAGTACTTTTACTGAACTGATCGTTCAACACGCTTTATGCTGTTGGAACTGGGAGATGTTCACCGCAAATGTATCCTTCATATTTGGCTTCTGCGATCGGCTTATCTGCACCCAGACGTTTTCGTTCTTTTCGGCTTCCACGTCATTGTTATGTTTCTCACCTGTAGTCCAGAATAGGTGTTTTAGATTATTTATGGCCTCTTGTAATACCAATCTGAACTCATGGAAAGAGGAGAAATTGACCAGTGCATAGAACCTACATTACAGTTCGTGGCTAGTCCCGCGGTTAAAGCATTCGGTTCATCGTGTTTAGCGTGGTTCTCTACCTGAACGATTCGCACGGTCATAACTATATCCACCTCTTGAAAATAGTTTACCAATCGAACCACAGCTCCATACCAACCTTCTGTGCATATTCGTCAATCACACTAGCATCAGAGTTCTTGTCATTGAACCGAACTAGGAGTATTTGTGTTGTACAGTCTCTATGTAGGAATGCCCAGTATTCTCCGTATATTCGCCGCTACATGACTCGACTAGCTGGCTATTGATTCTCTAGTTAGCCACTGGACAATCACCGCTAGTGGTGTAATTAAGTCGGCTTTTAAACAGGTCTTCGCAGCAGATAATTTAGCACAACTACACCTTGTCAGGCCGGTCAACCGGAAACACTGGTTCTCTGCTCTCGACAAACAGGGAACACCATCTCCTTAGTCAAAACGACGCATGTGAAGCAGTAAGGAGACAACCGATCTCCATTTTTGATGCAGCTTTTTCTCTGTTTGAAGAATTCCTCCATTTCCGCCATGATTCTGTTGGCACATTTACCTGTTTGTAGACTTGTGAATTATATATATATATATATATATATATATATATATATATATATATATATCCACCTGCAAAACAACGGTGCCTTAGTTCGGCTCAAGTAGACAACCCAATTCTGAACGCCGAATCGCACAGCCACATTATTGAAAAGAGGATACGACGAAAAACGTTCTGTATATTGAGGTGCGCTTGAAGCTGATCTAGAACTCATGATTTTAAATAGTTTTGAAAATTATCCGGTATTATCGGGTATTTGATAGTCATCATTACGCTTTTGACTGAAAAGTCTTGTCCTTGCTAAGGGGACCGGTGGGAGGATAATCGCTCCGACCGATTCAAAGGCACACTTCAATTGGACCATGCGACAAAGAATGATTCCAAGTGGTTCTAATGACGACGTATTCATCGATCCTTAGTGTTCGCAGTTATGACGATTGTTTGTTTGCTTTCCAACTTTGAGTTATCCACCGACGCTTGTCAGCTTGGTTGGTTTTCACCATCATCCTACGCTTTCCACGTTCCAATGGAGATTATGTACTCCGAGGCAAGGTTTTAAAGGAACAGCATCGCGCCGATAATTTGGTGGGATTACCTTTCTGATATCTTTTGGATTTCGCCTGAATTGATTTCATCACATCTGGGCTCAGTGAGGGGTCCACAACGTATCCTACTAAGCACTGTAAGGTGGTTTCATCTTTTCGGGAGTCCTCAGCAGAGTGCATTTAATGTTATCTCCTTGGGGTTTGAAGCCACAACACTACCCCTACGAATCCGCGGTTATGACCATTGAACCAGGGGCGTTGGTAACAACCGAACCGAGTAAGTTACTGAATGTGATATACTGCAGCTCATCTGGTCATATCGGTCATCGCCGTTTCTCATGGCTCAATTGTCTTCACCACGTACCGCGGGTTCTAGCCCCATAGGTGTCAGGTGGAATACCCACTGTTGACGATTCCCAAACGGATGAAACGACCCTTAACTGCTTTTCCGAATGTGTGATGGGTGACTGCCTAAACCGTCATTTCAAGTTATGCCACTTAGATCCGCATACAACTTTCTTGTGTTTTGAGCTTATTAAACGGGATGATAAAGAGGAGCTTCCAGATCCTTTGAACTCTATAGTTGCGACTATAAGCAGTACTCTGAAACCATTACCATTCATGGAAAACTTAGTGCATAGAAATGACGGCTGTCTAGGAACACCGTTAATTTGTAGGCTGACGGACATACAAGGGTTTTTTCCACTACCCTTTAGGTAACCCAAAACTTGATTGCGTTGGGATCGGCTCGTATCTGTTGTGCGGAGTCCAGTCTCTGTGCACCCAAGAGGAGGATGGAAATCTGCTTGGAAGAAGGCAGTGCATTAGCTGTCATTGTTGTTGTTGTTGTTGTTGTTGTTTTATTATTCTTTTTGCTGTTGTTCAGTTGATGTCCGCTGTGGATAGTAAGACGCCACTTACAGGAAATTTTCCTCATTTATTTCCACAAAATTCCAATAGATGAGTCTGGACGATGCAAAACTTTTATGATGCAATACTTTCTGAAGTAATCCGGAATATACTAAACAGACAGCAACTAAGAGTAATTTTCCAAGAGGTTGAATCGCTTCTTTTGACGCAAGTACATTTGAAAGACTCTCTTCTGGTAGATACGATGATCCACTGCAGCGATAAATTTGATTGCAACGACTCTACACACTGAGGATAGCGAAACCCAGTAAACGTGTCATGACCACCGTAGAAGGAGTTTGAATTCCGGGCTCTACTAGGAGATTCACCGGTAGTGGTGCACGCGCTGGACGCATAACAGGAATTCCATGCGGATAACCTTGGACTAATTTGATATTCTTTACAAGTAACATCCCGTGAGACTAACTGTCAAAGCGTTTCAAGTCACTTAGCCCATTAACTGTCCAATCTTTTCCCTAAAATTGTTGCTCTATTCACAAATGCTTATTAAGGAAAATACATATTCCAAATCACTTGCTATAGTTGGAGTTTATTGCACTGATATAATCTTGATGCGTTATGAGCACATTATTGTTTCCCAAGCAGGTAGCACGTGGCATTAGTGGATATTTTGAAGTACTTGACACCCAAACGAGAACCAGGATAGTTAATGGGTTAGGCTAACGATAGCGAGAATAGAATGGACGTGATGCAGGTGTCAGTTTCTTGGTGCACCGTCTTTATCGATCAATCTGAGCGGCGTCGGTGGACAGGTCTAAATTGTATGGCGATCCAACCTCATCCTTGCCAAAGTCTTATTTATTAACCATCCGTAGTTTTAACGATCTCAAGCCTGCCTTGTCGTTTGAGGTCGCGGGTTCGAGCCTGTGCAGGGGACCGGTCGACCCTCGTAGTATCCTTAGCCCACGCGCGACTGGTGGTGGTTGCGCGGAAGAGAAGCGTTAGTACTGCGTACCGGCGTACTGCCGATGCATCCCATTTCTTCCGTTACGTGAACCAATTGGAATCTTTGCATTCCTTCTGTTTTACTTTAATTGACACTGTCCTAAAATGGTGAGTATTCTCTCACTTGATTGTCGCGATTATAATCCTAGTTTAATATCAATGCCGCGCCAATTTTCTACTGGTTCACTTGGCCTGGTGATGCCCTTGTATTAAAAGCAGACCGTTGCCCTCGTAGAGCACTAACCGAGTGTTTTCAACCCCCTGAGTGGTACTGTAAGAAACCTATTGTTGAACTTAAGGGTAAACAGCGAGAAACAAGCCCGTACACCACGAGCTTCGTTACAGGGCTATTCTAGTTGAAGTCTCTGGCCACTTACACATTTGTATCCGGGGACCATCCATCAAGTTGGCATGGTCTGCAATTTGACCGTTCCACATATACTCACTGACTGGCCTCCCACTGGGTTCCACTCAACCGGGTGCAAGGCCCATAAATGACACACATTGAGATAGGTGACCGACAATCATATGAAGAAAATATCGGCACCAGCGTAGACGATTCGAGCGCTAAAGATCGTCTGCCACGGCATTGAAGTTCGTAACCAAGAGTAAAGCGACAGATAGCTGCATTATTCATTTGGCGATCAGTCCTGAGCAGCAATGTTACACGAGCACCAAAACATAATAGTAATCCATCTCTTGTTGCCTACAATGCGTAGTGACCATGCAATTGCCGAAATGCCGCGTGGGTTTGTCCGATTTATTAATTAATCGCTTGGGTCGTTCGACCTCTTGATGATGCAACTGACAGTACAAGTGAACCGATTAAGCATTTCGAATGGTCGCTCGGTAATTGTGAGAATCGGACCGTATTGTCCCGGTCCTACAACACCATCTTAAAGATTCGCGTTTCGCCTCGTAAATCTATTCAAAATTGTTCGTACAGTGGCTGAGTCGGACTTTATGAGTTCTTTTATCCACACACTCGAAGATTTTCAGTCATTCGGCTGATAACACTCATTCAGGAAGTAATGGGTCTCATTCCTAATCGTTTCGCTCTCGGAAAACTGAAATCTCTGACGCAGTGTCAACTCTTCTAACTACAGAGTGAGCACCTCGTGGATCGTGGCGCACCGTTGGATGTCCATATAATCTGGTATTGAGAAAGAAAATAATTTCTCTAGCATATTCGTCAAAGATTACAATGCAATAACTAGTACGGTTACCACAACAACTCACCTGTCGGAGCAGGAGCCGACCTGGATGTCACCAGTTCCATCTGCTCGACTACCACAACTGACGGACGGTACTGCGACGTTTTCGAGTAGTCTAATGGTATTGACTGTAAAACTAGTGTTTCAACGATTTTCACGTTACAAATCCTGTTCTTTTATTAGATAAGGATAACCACAGACAACCGCTATCCCAATGGCACCTGCCTTGTGCAACATATCTTGTTGTAGGAGCTGGCGGGACCAGTCTCTAGTGACCCGCCTTCGTCTTTCAGATATGAAGTAGCGAGATATTCGGGTCCGAGTATTTCTTCGTTTCAACCATGTTAGTTCTTGTCAGCTGTCATCTATGGTAGATGGTGTGATGTCTACACTCGAGTTAGGTTGAGGAGAGTCACTTGAGTGATTCTGGGAGTCACAGTAACACGGTTGGTCATCTGAGGCGCTCATTGAAATGTTCCGCCCAAAATCCAATTTCGTGAGCCCCGAAGGGGACCGACTGTCCTTCTTCCTCGGTTCTTATTTATCATACTGGGACTTACCGTGGGTCTGTGCTTCATATGAATTTGGACTATGCTTGACTGACTCTTAACAACGCAACATCCACCTATCCTTATCTTATCACCCACCGTCGCATATGTTGTTTGCTGTTAGTGTGCCATGTTGGCCGAAATCCCAGCGAAAGGATATGACAACTTTCTTGAAAGTATTAGTTCAGTGGATTACTGCCCTCTCTGTAGGCAGAAACCTCGATATCAAACACATAATTGCCTATAGACTCTTTTCGACATAATAATGATTGGTATATCCTCAACTAGGTGAGACCGGACCCAACTAAACTGGTCCGACCATAGGATACAAAGGAAACACAAACTGATTTTACAGGAGTGCTGCACAAAAACCATGGTAATTCCTTTTCCATTGATTCTTGTACGATTGCTTTCGTTTCACAAGTCTTCGGAATGAACGACGGTTGCGAATCGTCCAGATATGTTGTTTAGGCGGAGTGTTGTGAAAAAAAGCAAAGTATTAGGGAGGTGGATGACAATATGCACATGGAAAGTATGCTTGCAAAAATTAATAACGGGGACATAACAATCTTTAAAAATCGTGATAGTCTATGCGCAGACAGGATGGTAGTTAAACCGAAAACTGTCTCCATTATGGACCATTTGAAGCAATCAGAACGAACGATGTGCCGCACATGAGTGGTATTATATTATGACACAGACCAGATGGAATTACGTACTTAAATTAGGGGGATTAGTGACAGGGCATTAGGTTCAAGTCATGAACCCGCTCATGTCTTTCATCTAGCTGGGTACGTGGAATGAAAGCTGAATATGAAGGTAATTTATCCAACCCACATGTTTCTCATATGCCATCAGTGAATCTTCCGGCTAAGTGTGAGAAGAGTGGATGAAGAAAAACTAAAAGATAAATATCATTTATCCAACTTCTCGATGTGCCCGTCTTTCCATAGATCGAAGGATAGGACAATGTAAAAAAAATGAGTGATCGAACCAAACTTACCTGGAAAATACTCATGATAAGAGAACAATGTGGTTCACGTTATATCGACAAACTTTTTTGGTCATCTTTATCTATACTTTTCTATTGCGAATCCCGCAAGTGTTTTGGTATTTTCAGCCCTGTTCTCATGCACATATTCGTTTATGCAACTAACGCGAAACAGTACTTTAATTTTATGAGCAGCTAAGCACTTTTTAGTTGCACCTCAAATGTCCGAATCGAAGGTGGGCTTCTGTCAGTCTGAGGCAGTCGATGCCATAGCGTGGGATATTTATGTGTCAAGATGTTATACCGTAGACTAGTGCGGCAAAGAGGGAGCTTCATTATAGTCTTCGTTTCTTAAGTCATACAGTACAAGCCGATAGTAACTGGTATATGTCAGTTGATGGACAGTTTTGATAATAGACAAATTCAGCCTTAATCTTCGAAGCCACAGGGGTTCGATTTTCAGCAGACGGCATCTATCTTTATAACTGAGCGTAGAGGTGCAACCCGCAATTCTTTTTGTAAGAGACCTCTGTGTGGCTTCGGTCGTAGTGGTGTCGCATCTCCTAATGACACTGAAGGTGGTGAAATAGCACTCTAATAATAACATGGCGTACAGTTTGAATGATAAGTCCAATTTTGCTTGTTGCAAACAGGCGGCTTATCATTCCAATAGTCTGTCGTCTTTTAGCCACCGTATGCTCAACTCGTTCTTTGAAGTTCAATCAACCAGAGTAACAGAGACCTAAGTCACAGCAAGTCACGCAAGAGGAGGTGAATTTCATGCATAACCAAACATCCAAATGGAACTCTGCATTTGTAACACATGAGACTGCACTTAGATGTTGATAATTTCTTGGAAGATCCAACACACCATTCTTCCAATGAAACTAGGTCACTTTGGATCGTATATATAGGAGACAAGTATTGAGACTCGGCGGCATAAAACATTTTTGAATCTCATCTGCAAACAGATATGATCTGTCACACCTTATTGCTACGGAAATGATCATTTACATATATCAAGGGCCGATTATCCTACCTTGTAGCACTTCACTAGTAATATCTTTCGTCACTGACAGATGTTTACCTACCTTGACTGTCTGCTTTCGACCAGGATAGTGGTGAGCCTGTGATACCATTTTTGCGGATTTTATGTGAAACACTGTCGAAGGCCCTTTGAAAATCTACGTGAAGTGCACTACAGGCCTTGCCAGAATCTATGGATCCCGTTAAGTGAACGAAGAAATCTAGTTGGCAAATGGTACTTGCACGCTTTTGGGGACATCCGTACAGGAAATTTCACAAAGGGTTTTGATGTTAAGAGTTTAACGATATCTTTTTTTTATCGAAGCGCTTCATAATTCTAAAATTAATGCCAATGTGATTTAGGGGTCGATAGTGTTTTATGTCATGCCTAGGTGCAGTTTTATCACAGTCGTAAGGCGAATGGCATCTTTCGTTTGCTGTACCTATGCGGTCGGATTCTGCTAACGGTACGACCGCAATTAGATACGCTTTGACGGCACGTTTGTTGATATTTCGTTTTCCATCTACTTGGCATGTCATTTATTTGATTAATACACGCATTTACACGCTACGATGAGCTCGCGCACGCATATGTGAGGAGATTTCTATCTTGCCATGGTGAAATATGGATGCGCGCTACTAATTTTATTTTAAAATAACAGCTGTCTTGATTTTCGACTTCATTTCTTGTTGTTGCTCTATTGACTTCTATTTCTGCTATGGCCATCGAGGTTCGTTCAGCTTGTTCTCTCCACCTACTAGGCCGTATGAGGTTTACTAGGCTTAAACCTTTTAATTCGGAAATCGATTCTGGCTAGTTTCCATCATATGTTTGTGTTTTGTTTCACCGGACGAACGTATTCTTGTAACTACCTGGCCGAATATAGTTGTAACTGCTTTCACTTCCTTCAGTTTGCTTCCTCTCTCTCCAGACGGATCTCCAGCACCGGCCAGTGCTGAAACTGGCGGACTTCCCGTGCCTGCTTATGCTTATGCCGCCTTCCGGCGGTTCATACCACTGTACAAACGCTGGTTACGAAGTTCCTACCGTCCAGTTTCAGTCAGGACTGATTCATCAACCAAAATCTCTTAGCATGTATCTATCTCTTGTCCAATAAATCACTCCTTCCGAACTAGGGTTTTCTTCATCTTGATATTTTATTGCTGCGCGATGCTACTGTCGGTGTGACGAAGTTGGCCGGCTACCATCGTCTATATTTGAGGAAGAAAAGTTACATTTGGTACGCTGATTTTCTTTTTCTCCACACCGTGTGCCACCGTGCTCAGTTTCTTTGAGTTTTACCAGCATTATCAGAACACTGGGGTGCAATGCATCTGGCTATCATGGCTCTCGTCCCCCGACGATGGACAAAATGTGATAAAGAGCAGAGTAGGATGGAGATAAGTTGAGGTTACGAAGAGATAGTATATATAAAAATACATGCAAGGAGCCTAATGCAAGCTAGTCACTAGATACCCGCAGCTGCACCACGTCGGATAGGGTACTTAAATACTGTTTTGGCTCATCTCGAGGCCACGTCTAACAACCTCTACCAGTCGATTTCTTCTCTGCCACCCCACAGTTTCGACTAACTGGGTGCAGCACAGGAGTCCTATACGCACCGATGGAGGCGGTCAAAGAGCGTACGGAGGACCTGATATATCCAACGTAAGCGGTACAAGCTTAGTAGACTGCATTAGTCACCAGGTCTGCCCCCGACTACCAACTAATGCAATTTGGTATTTTTCACTTTGTGCTCTCTCACACACCCATTTCTATGAATGAATGCGATTTTGGAAAACCACACAGGTTTTGTTGTTGTGCCAGTGTCCTCAGCAACATGACCACCTAATGTATTCTGTCATCTTGAGTTGCTATTCGATGATAGTAAATAGTGATGGTATTTTGTTCCAATCCTACAACTGTAACTTCCACCTCAAATGCACGAGGGACGTGCCGAGACCGACATCGCTCTGTGTCAGCTTACACATAAGCGCTTAATCCTTGATTGAATGCGAACTATGGTGAACTACGTCATCTGCGTACTGTAACTGTTATTGCGTCACCCTGCATACTTACGGCTTCAGCAAAATCTGAAATCACGTAGTTGGTGATGAGAAGAATTGCAGGACAACACTGGCGCATCCCATTTGGTACGATGCATTCCAGTGATAGGTTAGCGGTTGCGGTGTGGGATTTCTGAATCAAAATAATGTTTCGTGGCGCACCCCGCTAGATTAGGTGGAACGGCAGGTTGGTACGCCCAACTGAAAGACATCTTTCAAATCAAGTAAAGTCATTACGGTGGGCCATCTGTATGCACTTGCTGCTTTGGCGTTGGTCAAACGTAAGTGTGATCATTACTGGCCTGGTGTGGTTTGCACTGATTCGACTCACAAGAGCCGGCGAGTCACCTCACTGTGATGCCGGTGAGCATTTCTGTGATGCTGGCAACGGGGATAATGCATCTAGTGTTTTGTCCTTATTTTGCTCCGCCACCTTGTGAAGACGGGGATGACGCTGGACAATTACCAGCCTCAGGACACCTATTCAATGTGTTGCTGCGTTCTAGTCATCCTGTGTAAAACAGCTATATGGCGGCCTTCATCCCTCATCTACACCGTAGAACCAGTTGTTCTTGATCATGTAATGTGGTTACCTTGCTTTTATATGCTGGGATCCCTGTAGTCTTTTACTTTGTCATTTTGACTATCCTTGTCTTTGCTATTGCTCTTTGTTGTAGGTTGAGCTCATGACTATCGCCTAAGCTTACATCAGGGAATTATTCTTTTATTCTGAAATTTCTGCATCGCAAATCACTTGTCCATATGAAAGTCTCCGAAATCTTCTCCCTTATGCTTACCACAACAAGCGGGATGCGTCCTGTCCGCTTTGTTCCCCAATCTCTCCTCGACATTTCAGTTGAGCGGTAGAGTGATTCTCTCTTGCTCGTTTCATTCGGAGTGCGCATCCTACTAAGATACGGGGACTACGTTGCTCTCGTGGGATCAAAGCAAGTCCCTTTCCGGCACCGCTCAATGAGCTGCTTTTGATCGCTGTACACTCTGACAGGTGCTTCGCATCAACAAATGCTGCGTAATCTCACAAGCCTGAGTTGTCATGCTTCCATTTCTCATCATTCATCTAGCAATAGATTGAAGTGTACCTTCACTTCACCTTTCCAGACTTTCTTATCGGTTGGTTCATTACACATTCCAACAAGACTCGGCTGGTCCATCGAATATTGTATCACATGTGGGGAGGACAGTAATTTTCTAACTCTGTGTGCACAGTACCGACACGCCTTCAAGTCACGTGGAAATCATTCTCGTCCCAAGTCACCGAGGTTCACTGACTCTTGTCATTTATCCAGTGAGATCATCTAGGGTGTACAGCGGATGCTCCCAATTAATACTTGGCGACAGATCAACCGATACCACATTGGGCCTTCCGTCAAAATCAAACCACTTACATTAATTGTGTTATTCGCATCCACACTGATAGTTCATTTCGGCGTGTGTTGGTTGCCGGCACAATCCATCGTTGGTAGAAACGTCGAAATGATAGGCCAATACTTTAGAAATTGTATCTGACCAAATCGTGCGATCGTGTTGGTGCATGCCGTTTTCCTGAAGGTGAATCAGCAGCTCCTAATTTTGGTGACTCTGATTTCTGCAACACGTTCCCATACTATACTGACAGGCTTTTAGGACAAAGCTCTTAGTCATGAACCCTAATCTCTCTCCTTCGTTTTGGCACCGTGACGGTAACTCAGCTTATGCACAGCCATGACGTTCTTTTGGGATTTTTGCATCATTGTGCTATGACAAGTACAAAAGTCACTTTAGTTGCGGCTCACAGCAAAAAGGATAAACGACAATATGTTCCCGGTTTCCGAAAGTTTTATAACACAAGTCGATTTTGTTTCAGTGTGTACTACTGTAGTACAAGGCTATTCGGAACCGGTTTATATTCTAAAACCTTCTGAAATTACAATTTTCCGATTGGGTTTTAGCTGTTTCCGATTGCTTTATCTTTTCCATTTGTTTCTCTCCTGATACCCACTAAGGACCTACCCTTCATGCTCCTCCACGTGAAAGTCAGCAACCGCGGCTCTAGCGCAGTCTCACACCCCTGTTGCAACAGCTCTTAATGCTTCCATACCAAACAAACCACCTATGCCATTCTGCACTATCCGGTTTCTTCAGCTGCAATAAACATTCGTGCACTTAGCATGCTTTCGATAACCGTACACTATAGCGGATAGACCACAAGTTGCACATGCAATTGCATTAAATGCCCCTGTCCTCAATGAACTCTGCGTCTCCGGAACAAGTATTTACCACTATCAAGTACTTTTTGAGGGACCTGCTCCTTATTTATCCTCCCACTCTTGATTGCCCACTTCTGGCGATGCTGATACAGCTGCATCAGGTCAAATTGCATTAGATGGCATTCATGCTTCCACTGCGATCCTTGCTGGTTGGTCTAATTCCCGTGAACAGTCATTTGCGTGTCGCTTGCTTGACAACGCCAAGCTCAGCACACTGAGAAGTGTTGTATGCAATCTGTTCGTGCTCATAGTTCATACACCGACCGACAGCCGTTTTGATACCGGCAAAGAAGCTTTCTACCACGAACTTTGCAAGCTGTTAACCAATTCTGTTCGTTCGAATGTAGCTCTGCGTTCTAGGGTTGTGAATGCGCGGATAGACTAAGGTCTTCGAAAACCAATCTGATGGAATGTTCGGGCTCAATTCCAATTACACTGGCAATGACGAGCGTTTATTGAAAATGTGTAGCGGACATCAGTCCTTTTTAAGTAGTATTGTTTTCAGGCTAATTGGCATTGATGCAACACTTGGCGTATTCGGGATGCAGAACAGCGATGGACTTTACTATTCCACATCGCTAAATATTTCATTTGGCATGGTTCTGTCGGTCACCGCCACTGCTTTGAGAGCACGTCTGTCGATCTGATTATGTCCCACTACACTTGCTGTAATTTCTTATGGGTGCAGCAGATGATTCCTTCTAATAGTGACTGGAAGACGTTTCCAATCAGTCATTAGACACGACTACGACGCTACTCAACATCCTAAACTATCATACAAACGCTCTGAGGACATTGAATTCTAGTGCAGTACAGTGTCAGCCCTCGTGCATAGTGCCGGACGCTTTTGCTTGCAACATTGCCAGTTGGTGTTTGCCATCTGAAAAGTCGATGAACCTATTTCAATCTATAAAGATAAACCCTGCAAGCTCTGGACAAAGTTTCACCAAACGGGTTGTTATGCAAGAGCTTATATGAATACGAAGATCAGATAAGCAAGCCTACTGGACTCGAAGATCTCAAGAAACAGGGAGACATTAGGGGTGAGTAACTTTCAGCGGACGCCCACAACTAGTTCGCGCAGTTGGTCTCAGGAAGGCCTGCGTCAATGGATGATCACAAACAATATCGGCACCAGAACTGACACCGTCTGGCTTGTTGGACGAGACTGTTGACATATGCTCCTACGCCTCTTCATGCTCAAGTGGCGCAGGTTGGACCATGGGCAGCACACTTACAGGCTCTAACTGGGTCCGTCATTCGAAATGCTGCCACGGCTATTATCTGATTCAGCGCCGCTGCTCCTGGATCACCCATCTTCTCGCTGGAGCAATGCAAAATGATGAGCTGGTTTGGAAGAGTGAGTGTGCCAATTGAGCCGATGCAACGCCTGTTGTTTTCATAGGGGGATCACCATACTGCCGGCAGTACTAAATATACTGAGTCCCATTCTCTTGAAGAAGATTGGACAGCTTCCAAAGCTATGGGTTAGGGTTAGCACACCGTCACCTATGCCTCACGCGTTTTATAGCTGTGTTTCTCCCATGTGGTTCCAAGCTAGTCGTCAGACACCGTTCGGCCAACAGACGGCACTCGCCAAGGTTGTCTCATTTCCCACTTCCGTTTTATTGTAGCCTTCGTTATAGGTCCTTACATTGTGTATGCTTACGATATAAACGTTTCTATAGCGCCGGGGCGAATCCATATGATCTGGATTCTACGAACGAAATTGTCTTACTGTTTGACAAACACAAGGTTTCACTGTTGACTCTCTATTAACTCTTGGTGATGACTGCATC